GAAGGCATTGCCGCCCACCCTATAGCAAATAGTACGAGATGCCCTTCGCTGGACGCTCTCGATGCGATCGACCAGGCGCTGCTGAGATGGGGACCACACGGAGCAACAGTACTCAAGAGATGGGAGCACCATTTCCGTGTACAGAGTGCGTAGCGCACCTGACTCACAAGATTTCGTTAGACGTGCGACAAAGCCCAGCGTACGCCGGGCACTGGCGACAACACCAGCGATGTGGGCTGAAAAAAGCAGCGTTCGAGAGAACACCACTCCAATGATGGTGAGCGTCTTGCAATGCACCTGCGCGTGCTCATTCCTGCCACGTGTTTGTTTTTTTCATTCGGAGGCTCCGCTATACCGTTTTTATTTTTTATCTGGGCCAAACACGTGCGTATACCGCCGGACGTTAAGTATAGTACATCAAATTAAAATAGATTCCTAAAAAAGTATCTAAAAGTGTCATGTGACGGGCAGCGCCTGCCCGTCACATGATCCTTGTAAAAAAGTATCGTTCGGCGTGGCGTACGTGTTCAGATCTTCAATATCCTGAATGTGTTTTCCTCACCGCATTGTTTTTTCTCTCGTTTTCGCGGTAAAACTAGTCAGCCTCGCCCACGGTGTAAGATAATACTCTTCAGGTGAGGACAGCGCGCTCCTCGCGACCTGCCCGATAAAGTTCGCTCTTCACTCTCTCTCGCTATGGCTTCAAGCGGCGCCGGCAGGTGACTCGTCGACCTGTGGGCACGTACAATACGGCTCGTGCCACCTCATGTACCACACGCGCAGAGCTCCAGCGAGGTTGTCGCACGTGCAGAAAGACCGCGGTGTACCGGGGTGTCATGGCAACGAGATAATTTTTTTCGCTCTCACAGAGTTTCGCCGTTTGGCCGCCGGCGACACTGTCAGCCGCGGGCGCGGTGGCAGCGGAATGATGGAGCCTTTCGGATGCCCGTCGAATGAAGACTATCCGATTCCTCGCGCCGCGCGTTCAGCCCCGCCGTGTCCTCACCTAAAGAGTGTATCTTACACCGCGGCCTCGCCATGCTGGGTATAAATACGCCAGCGTCGGCAGTCATTTACGAAGGATTTATCAACGCAAACATTTCGCCTCGCTATTCAAGTGATTCATGCCGTAGTTCATCAGAATCTCAATGACTTGACTGCATAGTGAAAACGGCAAAAAAATAAAAATAAAACGATGTCGGTCAGTAAACGGCACTTGAACGGCGGAGCTCGCCAGCGTGAAGAGCAAAGCGCAGATTCTGGAAAGTTACTGAACTTTCATGTAAATACTGGCCATCAAAGACAGCAAAATACTGATGCCGGCCAGTTATTGAAACCTCTATAAAAATACTGGCCAGCAAAGACAGCAAAAACACGATTCCGGCCAGTCACTGTAACCTTTGCTGAATTGGCCAGTGAGTAGAGACGAAACGCCGACGCCGGCCGGGGCCGGTAGCTCACCGGCGCCCATGGCCGGTCGCCGCCATCCTGTTACAGGACCGGCCAGCGTAGTCCCGATACCGGCCGACGCGGTGTGCTACCTGGGTTTGCGTGATAATGGCTTGCACGTTAACTATCGCATGACATCTGAACTATGGGTCCTGCGAGTGCTTACCTGAATATATGCGAGATTTCAATGATTGTCTAGGCAAAGATAAGTGTTGTCTCAGGGTTTAAATATCAGTATTAAGCCTGTCTATTCGGGGGCATGTCAGCACAAATTAACCAGAAGTCAATGAGGCCATTATACGTAAAAGGAAGACAACAGCAAATGGTAATTGTCCGATGGCTCTCTCCGTTCAGCAAACTGATTATTGCGAGAACCGTATCGCAAACAGTGACGAGACGCGTCAACGTTATCAGGTTTATTTACTGGCAATGGGTTACCAGTCTATTTGAGTAGCCGTCTCGCTGCGATGGAGCCATGGGGCAGCAGAAATGGCAAAACAGAAAACAAAAAAGCGGAACTCAAACCAGTAGCCTCTCGTAGCACTGGACGCATCGTCAGTACCTCTTAATGACATATTTTACTTGTAAAATACATTTCATTCCGCGAGAATGCAATGCGTAGTTAGAAGAACGGCTCGAAGCGCCGCGCGTTCGAGGTTTTCGAGAGCCAACGGCATGGCTGCCGCCATCTATCGTAGGAAGCACTCGAATGCCAGTCATGGCAGCCGTCTCTGCTGTCTCAGCGAATCCGTCATGAAATTTTTTACTGGAGAATATATTTTAATTTATTTATTCATTTATGTGCCCTAGAGGCCCTCAGGGGCATTCCATAGCGGGAAACAACAGTACAGTAATTTGGAATACAAAAAAAAAAAAAAATAAGCAGCAACACACACGCAGTAGAAAGATACATTGCATGGACACACAAAAGCATAAAAAAAATACATTCGCGAAGATTTTATGGTCTTGTACCAGACAGCTTTTGCGTGGTTAGTTGGACTTTAGTCTTTTCGTCTTTATTTATTTGGCTCTGGAGAGCGGCGGCATCGCGGAAAGTCAGCAGCCCGTACCATGGAGGCCCGCGGTGCTGCGTCTAGTGAACATGATAATGTGATGAGTATATACATGCATGATGACGACGACATGGGTTGTTGATATTGGAGAGGATGGCAGTCCGATTCGCAGAAGTACAGATTTCATGGAGGTGGGTTGAAGGGTCAGCAGCGAGCCATGGGGATCCGGCACGCCGCTCGATCGGTGCATGAAGGAGCCCCACGAATATGATGGCGCTGTTCCTCACTGGGGTCCGCTGGGGTCGAAGCATCAGGCTCCAAGGAGGTAGCCCAGTCAAAGTAGAAGCTGCCGCTTCCGAGGAACCACGGCTCAGATTGAGGCACCGCCGTCGCCCGGCGTTTCATCCTCTCAACGTCGTCGTTGTTTTGTTCTTTATTTATACGCGTATATATGTATAAATAAAATAAGATAGATAAAAAGACACACGATCGAACGGCCAGCGGCGCGCCGTTCTAGTTATATTTCTAGTTATACACACATGAAGGAATTTTGTTCAGTTTGTGTCGGCAACGAGGTAAAACTTTACGTACACAGGCAAATTCAAAGCAAAATTTATACAAGTGTTTCTGACCCTACATAAGAATTACTTATATTTGAAATCCAGGGCGCAAATTTTGATTCTAAACATCTAATTATTATATAGTTATATTATAACCGCCACATTCTTAGTCAATATGCTGTCACAAACGCATCGTATAAATCTTTTTTTCTTTTTTTTTTTTCGATAAGCCTATGTAAAAATAGCTTGGCCGCAAGCTCCTTGGTGCAAGGCGGAGTGCTAACTTTACAGGGGCGAAAAGCGGGCCGAATTTGAAAGTCTCGAGGAATAAAAAGTATTATTAAAACGCCGAAATTTTAACTGCGGTGTATGCTATGAGTCAGCAGCTAATATATTCCTCGGGAACTTTACGATTATTAATTTCAGTGAAACGAAATTTAAATTCTTGTCAATGCGGCCCATAGGACCCAATGCAACAATATTATAACGGGCCCAGGAATGAGAAGTATACAATTTTGAGGTTCAAGTAAGTATTAAATAAGAGTGTATTAGTGCCCTCTATAGATATCTCCGGGAACTTAAGGATTTCTGAAGTAGTTTGGCTGAAATTATCATTTCACTGCGTATTGCTGACAATAGCCAAGAGAGGGCGCAAGGAGACCGTGTCCAGGAATGCTGGGGATGTAGCTACAATAATGTAAGAGTGTATACGCCGTTTTTATCATAATTTGGTGAGCCGCGAAGGCTACAGTCCCAGTGAGCCCATGTGAAGGTTGAAGGGTGGAATGGGACAACATATCATCAGAGTGGTCTCCTTCTACGGAGTGTTGTCACATACCTTCACTCAGTCTGTCCGATAGGCTCGAAGGAGCTGTGGCGTTTGCTTATTGCCAATTTATAGGGAAACGAAGTATAGGCAGCACACTTTTGAAAGAAGTCTATTGAAGAGTCTGAAAGGAATGGTAGTCAACATTTCACTACAAGACTGCTTCTTCGGTCGATTGGGAGGAACACAAGTTGAAATTATTTTATCCAGATAACTGGAACAAGTAAATAATCAATCGACTGATACAACTCCCCCTTTATACACTAAATTATGGCTGCCAAAAATCCTACAAAAGTGCAACATGTGCAGTTCATTTTCCATTTCCAAGTTGCCATAAATTTAAAGAATTGTTGATATGTTTAGTGCTAGGGCTGCATTTTTTTAAAGATTCTGGATGTTGGACTGCTGAATGAGACAACCATTTAAGAGGAGTCTCATCGTAAACTAGAGGTAAGTTCAGATATTTGATACCAATCTGCAAGGTTAAGAGCCTAATAAGACTAATTTCTAAGCAAAGTCGAACGCAGTATTTTGTGCACTGCCCAATCAAAATATAAAGACTTGCGTTCTTCTCAGTTCCAAGGCAATAATTGAACTGTATTGTGAACGTTCGAAATGAACTATTTTCCGAATAAATGGTTCGAATCCTTTGTAACAGTTCCGGTGCACTCCATTTACGCGAGCGCCAGCTTTTCACACAAAACAAAATACTGCGATCAAACTCAAGCTACTGCAATGGAAGCACGGTATAACCAAATATTGAGAAGTCCGAAATCGTCGACAAACAGCTGCACATCATGACTACCGCGCACCGAACCAACTCGTATCTACTAGCTCTGGGCGCTGCCATTTTACCGGTGACGTCACGGCTCTTATGAAGTCACGTGACGAGTAGCCACATTTGCGTACATCATGGCGACAACCAGGGCCCGGGCGCCAGTTTCTATCTCCCGGTTCATAACTCTAAGCCTCTATGCATCTATGATTACCTTCCTCTCTCTCCCCTCGTAGAGGCGTTTCGCAGAAAGAGGCGTGCTCATTCGAGCAATGCGGTACATGTTTCGAACAGCTGTGAGCATTTCAAGAGTAAAACAAAAAAATTCGATCTGTCGCAGCCGCACACGTTATGCGCTCTATTTTTGGTGTACAGCCATGTCTACGACGTCGACTCGTACGGTTCGCAAAATAGCCTTGGCTGTTTTGTGTGCAGCAATTCTCGCCTCGCTGGTATGTTTTGATTGGTTACGACGGCCACCTTCTTGCCCCACGCCAGCATCCGGCGACACGACCAGAGAGCAGGTAATACGCAGTGTTGTCGCTATGGTCACTGAAAGAATGAGAACGGTAGGCAGGTCCCTCACTTGTCCAGCCTCCCGAGCAAGCTTCCTGCCTTCCATAATGCTCCGGCATCTCTTGAGCCTCGAGCGCCTGCACTCGAAGCCAGAGCACGGTGGAAGGCAACGGGCGCGTGCTGGAAGCCGGGCATCCGAAGAAACGCCCTGCCTTTCCGATCCTGTCACTGACCATAATAGTCATTCTGATCTATTATGGCGGAACTCTTTTGAATAAACCTTGCGTTGGTAGTTTTCGGGTTTCACGTTTGTCGCAGAGGGAACGAAAAGGATAGTTTTATATTGTGTAGTTTGATATTCCAAAAGATTTCAGTGATCGTTCTATAAAAGCGTGAATTAAATCGACGTGACTACACTCGACACATAAAAAGGTTCTGGATAATAATGACATTTCGTAGAAAGTACACAAGAGCTTTGAGTTGAAAGCGGGAGCTTGTGACGACTCTTCCAAGCACGGATTGAGCACGCGCGCGCAAGGCCCGCAATCCGCAGTATAAACCACTGATCTCTAAGACTATTTTGTGGATCGCGTTTGCCTGCGTCGCTAATACGGCCACGGTCGGTCATCTTTGTAGAAAAGTTATATTATCTCTAGCCACACCATAGTAGTATGGTGGCGCAGTCTACATCCCCTTTGATAGGGTACACGTTTTCCAGCCACAACTAAAGGGTCGCGGGCGACTTCATGAAGACCTTGGGGAATGCTTACCGATGGTAAGTTCCGATGGTAACCTTGCAAATACTTACCGATGATAAGTTCCTGTCTTTTCGTGGACAGGGCCATTTGAACAGCGTGCCGCACAACATGACGGAGTAGTCGACCTTCCTATGTCGCATCTACTGAGTTTCAAGTATCTGCTTCGTCGAGCGACTTCGAAGCACGAAATATCACCCATGGTAGAGTGTATACTCGACCATGGGCAATTTTTATGGCAGCCTGCCGCCACAACGCTGTCCGAAGTATTACTATGATGGTTAGAGATAATATAACTCTACCAAAAAGATGGCCGACCTTGGCAACATTTCTGTGCATAAGCGGAACTGGGCAAACGCGATCCAGCAAATAATTATAGATATCAGCTGTGTATACCACCTTCGACGACAACCTTTTCGCAACTCCCGAGTACATTGTTAATTTCGCGTTCTTCATTTTTTTCCCGCAGACTTCCAGACTAAGCGACGATGACTTCGCGTTCAGAGCAGAAAGAATCAACAAAGTGTGTCGCACGTACCAGGCGGCCCTGGCGGATCCCAACAGACGCATTCCGAAGCGCAACTTCAGCGACGAACGGCCCAACCTCTGCCACATCCGAGATTGTCCCATCATGATCGACCCTGTACACAAAGTTGGCTACTGCTTCATAAACAAGGTTGCATCCACCACAGTCAAGTCCATTTTCGGGGTCCTGCTACACATCAGAAACACGGGAAGCACAGTTTACAGCATACACATGGCCTTTCATGAGCAAGTCCTCACAGTCTCACACAAGACGTTTCTACAGAGGAGCAGCCAGGAGCGCTACACAACCGCCATGTTCGTGAGGCACCCCTTCGAGAGGCTAGTATCCGCTTACGTGAACCAGGCGCTGGGCCCACGTGCTGAAAATGTCTTTTTTTACAAGCGGTACTGGAACGACGTGCCTGGCGTCAGGGAAACGGGGCGGGACTTGACCTTCCCGGAGTTCGTCGACTACATACTGAATCAAAGAATGAACCAGATGAACCCTCATTGGGCTCCGTACTACATAACGTGTCAGCCATGTACTATCAAGTACGACGTCGTCGGAAAGCTGGAGACAGCAAGCAGGGACTTTGCGCTGTTCCTCGGTGCACTGGGTGTTCGGCCGGAGGACATTCCGCATAAAAACAAGGGTGGCAAACAAGGGTTCCGCAAATCTGCCCGGGAGTTTTTTAAGGAGCTCACTTTACATCAGGTGATGCGTTTATATGAGCGGTTCTTCTTCGACTTCGAGATGTTCGGGTACGACTTCAGGGACTATCTGCACTGACAGTGTATGGGAAACCAAAGAAGACTGCCAACTTCAAAGAGAATTTTTCTCAGCCAGTGCTTCAGCAAATCTGCTGTAGAGAAAATAAGAACATATGCCTGAAACCTATAAAGCTATTTTTTTCTGAAATGTGTATTCAAAAGAAGGTTTCACTGGATTATATGTTAGTCTAGACAACTTGAGTGTGCCGATCGCCTAAATCTAAAAATAGTGCCTGATATTAGTCGATACGAGCGACTAAAGTGTGAAAGTGACCAACGTAGCATTTCTTTTCCTGTTAAAAAGTCACTCGATTGCCTTTTCTTTTTGGAGGCTTCTTTTTGATGGCATATTGTGTGTTTGACTAGGCAATAAAAATTACCAGTTCTGGACGACAAGACGTCCCAGTGAAATCACAGCGATAGTAATGCACGGGCACCATTCTCTCTTGTATGGAAGAGGAAAGGGGGGGGGGGGGGGTATCTTCGGAGGTCCCTATTACCTGCATAAAATTTGACCAATGAAGATAGTTAAATGCTTGTATGTACAGAACGTTACTATTCTTGCTCTAAGTCGCATTGTGCAATATATTTTGTCAAAAACGTCAAATCTTCGCGTGTTGTCCGAAAATGCCGTCTGACGGCGCCCCCTGGTGTCTGTCTTAGGGTGCAGAGAGAGGAGGGTGTCACAATATTCGATTGTACATTAATTATAGTAATTGACCGCCATGAGTGTAATTTCAGATTATGTTATGATGCTTAGAACCCGTAGTGTGAGCTGTCACCAGAAAAATACGATCTCCGAATCCACTTGTGCGCCCCTGGGAGTCTGGGACCGATCAGACGACGTCAAAAGAGCGCCATTCTTGTGCTCGTCGTGTTTCTGTGTGTGTTCTATTACCGCTGAACCGAGCATAAACAATAAATGCCCAATGAGTTGCGCTTCTGACTTTGCTGATTGGTCCCTTTAGCTCGTAGCGTGTGCTGCGTCTAGACTTAAACAACCCATAAAAAGAAAAAAAAAACACATTTTTTTTAAGCAATTTTGGGTGGGATACACGTGTCGAAAAATATATTTTACGAAAAAAATAGTTTAGGAGATAGATATATTGACGGCCAGAGATTCATCTGAAATTCTGCACGCGAAGTCATTCCGGAATACCCATCTCGGTCGTGAAGCCGAAGCCGCTACACCTCTCCTCCGCGCGCCCAAAGTGCCGAGAGAGAAAATAAGTGCTAAACAAGGTGACTGCCAACTAAATCGCGCCTCGCGCCTCCAATATTGCTGGAAAAAAGAAAATACAATATGCTTTAAGTTTGTTTTTTTGACACGCGTGTCCCAACCAGACTCTTTCAAGCAAAAAAAAAAAACATGTTGTTTTTCTATTCAGGAGCCCTTTAGAACTCCGGTCGAAAACGAAGCCAAAATATTAGACCGGTATCGCTTTAGTCAAAAAAAAAAAAGAAAAAATAGGATCACAGATGAAATACTCCGTCAGAGTGAAGCCATAAAACCGGTTTTAAAGGGATACTGAACCGAAATTTCGAGCTCACTAAACAAGGCCGGACGGATATGCGGGAAGCTGCAAAACCAAAAAATATCACTCATACGGCGATATATCTAGCGGATCGCTGTATCTTTTTGGAAAAGAAGTGCGCAATTGAACCCGGCCGACAAGGCCGACGGGACAAGGCACGTCACGATTCTCCCGTTCTCTCTCCTCCTCACTACGTCCAGTCAGGCTGGTGAACTGAAGCGAGGAGGAGAGAAGCGCGGCCGCTTCTCCTCATTCTCAAATTTTCCCGGAGGACAGTTACGTCAAAGAACTCGCTTGATCGCACCCTTCTTTTCCAAAAGTACGGCCATCCGTTTGAGATACCGAGGTACGAGTGATGTTTTGGAGTTCGTAGCGTCCCGTTCAACACTTCTGCAGCCTTACTTTGCGAAATCCAAATTTCGGTTGAGTATCCCATTAAAGGTGCGATCAGCTGCTCTTTAGCCGGTGGCGAGCGGGTTAGCTTTTAGTAAAGCAACACTGGGCGACACGTAGCGCAGCACCACCGTGACGTCACGTCGCGGCCGTGCACCTGACATCAATGTTGCCTTCCCACTCCTGCAGATAGTTTCGGTTTTGCCGTACAATCCCGAAACCAAACTTTGAGTCGTGGTATTTATAAAACTACACAATATACAGAAAAAAGAAAAAAAAGTTAGACCTTGTGATTCAGGGACACTGACCGAGCTGAAAACAGTCGTAATCCCAACTTCGAAAATATTTACCGGAGTTGCCCTTTAAGCTGGAACGGACTATAGCTACAACTGTGCAATGTTTTTAACAATGTGACAAGGACGTCGACCGGCTGGCGGGCCACACAAAGCGCTGCAGCGGTATCCGCAAGAGTGGGCGTGTACGCGCGTGCAAAGCTGCGCCCGCTTTCGTCAACAGCGCCGCAGCGCTTTGTGGTACGGCGCTGATCGGCCCGGCGGTCGACGCTCTCATCATATTATTAAAAGCCTTGCAAAGCTGTACTCTCGTCATTTGATCTCGTATAGACAATGGCAAGCACGGCACCCCAGCTGGTGCCCCATGATTGCCAGCGGGTGGAGCTTGCGCGTGAACATAGATTTTGCAAGCTTGACAGTACCGCAGTTTAAACCGTCAAAAGTAGATTGCTCCTCTTCCCATCCCTCGAACTAGAGCTAATCGTCGTTGGCTCCGATTATCAACATCAACAAAACATGTTCTTATTCACTCAGCATGAAATTGCACGGGCTTGTCCGCACAAGAAGGCATGTCGGCGGCCAGTGGCTTCGCTTGCAATCGTCTTGCTGCCGGGGCCGCAAGCGAGTTCGTAAGACGCGACCGCTTAATGACTCCATCGAGCATAAATAACAGCATAACAATGATGCTTCTCAGCGAAGATTTTTGTTTTCCTTCGCACATTTATATTTATTCACTGGAATTCCGTCAGCATAGCGTCCACGAGCGACCTGAAAAAAAGTAATGAGGCACAACCGAAACGTGACCGAAAAGTAATCGAGTTTGCTCGCTACAGAGCTGCAGGCATAACCTATTACAAACTACTCCAAGATATTACGCGTGTCCTACAAGAAAACAAAATATTATTATCTGTTTTATATAATTCATAATTAAAATTGAAAAGTACATTAATCGGTGTTTCTCGGTGATTACGGAAAACTCCAATAAAAACCAGAACGTTTTCTTGTGAATATCTTTAGGAAACGAGTTCCTTTCCCTTCAGGGCTGTGTCTCGCGAAGAAACAAGAGCCCGCTGCAACAAGAGATGTGCAGTTGAAGCTCTGCCTCCAGGGCGCACTCTTTTCCTTCTGTAACAATTCTGCGCACATGCAGCCAAAGCACAACGGAAGGCAATGCGCGCATGCTGGAGGCGCAGCTTCCCCTCTAGATGTTATGTTTCGGCAGGAAGAAGGCCGTGGATTTTCCAGTATTTACTCGTAAAGAAAATCGGCACGCGTTTTTTGGTGTTTACTTGTATTTTTATTTCAAAATACTGCCAATCCCCGAAGGGATTATTGCAGGCATTGGTACATAATAAAAGATACATGTGAAGCATTTAACAACGAATGAACAACACTTCTCGTCATTCAAAACATCCAATCATTACGAAAAAAGTTCATCTTCGACTGCATTGATAAATGATTCAACAGTGCCGTGACTGAACACGTGTGGATCAAGGTTCTTCCAGATTCTAATCGCAGAGGGAAAAAATGTGTGTTTAAAAGTGTTATTATGAAACGAATAGTCAACAAGTGTAAGACTGTGCTTGTGTCTAGTCGGTCTATAGCTAGACAATTGAACGTACCTGGATGAGTCAATCTTAAAGGCGCCTTGTAAAAGAAGGTAGAGAAATTTCAGACGATTTAATGTTGCGCGGTCAGTAATGGTCTGTAAACCTGCTCTTTTCAGAAGCTCTGTGGGGGAGTCAAAACGACCATACTTGTGATAAACAAACCTAATTGCCTTTCTCTGAAGGCTTTCAAGTGTGTTTATGTTTATATTCGTGTGAGGGAACCAAGCAATATTTGTGTATTCAAGCACTGGACGGATAAGGGTTTTATATGCTAGGAGTTTTGTTTCACAAGACGAACATTTTAAGGTTCTCTTCAGAAAGAATAATTTCGTGGGAGCTTTATTAAATGCATATTTAACGTGTGCGTTCTAGTTCAGATCAGCTGTTATCAAGACTCTATAGGTACTTATACTCGGTGACTCTATCGTCTTTAAGGCTATATTGAAACTGGGAGACATTCTTTTTCTTTCTCGTCAAACTCATAGAGACTGTTTTTTCTTTGTTAATCACCATTTTCCAGTCATCGCCCCAGTCGGAAATCTTTAAGAGATTTCTTTAGTAGGTTGTGATTGTTTTAAAATATCGGTGTATTTTAGTGATCCGATGTATATGTAAGCTAAAAAACGGTGATTACTGAAAAAACAATCCCATGAGAAACGCAGAGTTAAAGACGTCTAAGGGAGGACTTCGACAAAAAATATCTTAGCCGGAGCAATTTTTTTTAGAAGTCGGTTTGTTTCGGTTTTAGTTATTCGATTGTACTACTGACAATGGTTGCTTAATAGTGTTCTTTTTATATTTTTAACAAGTTCTGTATTTTTGACGCCAATGGTTGTTTGTCCATGTTTTCTCGAATTTCGGCGTTCTTGTATTTTTGAGACTGGCGAATGTTTATCGTCGTTTTTCGGTTCAAACCGCGAAGTATACGGCCTAGCTATAAGTTTGAGTCGCTTGAACGAGAAAAACAAAACACTAAACTAATATTACTTATAGCACCGTTAGTTCCATTTGCGCGACAATGGCTTGCACGTTAACTATCGCATGACACCCGCACCATGGATCCTGCGAGTGCCGACCTGAATGTATGCGAGATTTCATTGATTGTCTAAGCAAAGATAAGTGCCGTCTCAGGGTTTAGATATCATGATTAAGTCTGTCTATTCGGGGCATATCAGCGCAAGGTAATCC